TTGCTTTTTATTTTTTATTTTTTTTGCTGCAGAAGTGTGGGTATTATGGTGGAGAGAAAGATACAAATGATGATAGACTATTCTATTCAATCATGACCAGTCATAATGAAGTAATATGCATATATCCCTCTTATTCTCATATTTACGCATTAAACTCACAATATTGATATCTAAATTTTTGCATGGTGGTCAGCATAAGAGTGAGGCATTCCCCTCTATGCTCTATCTTTGAATATAATTTTATGTAGTTGTTTTCATGACCACAAAGGATCCAACTTGACATGGACTAGACCATCTAAATCTATCTCCTTATTCAATCTTGATAAAAAAAGTAAGATCAACTAGTAAAATTGCAATGGACAAAAAGATCAGATCATATTCTTGAAAGAGTTGAAGATTGAAGCAGCTTACATTCTTAAAAATTTCAACGTGCATAATTGCTAAGCAATTATGGAATCTTTATAGTCTAGTAGATAAATGATGCAGGAAATTATGTACTTGTATTCATGACTACAACGGAAAAGGATCCAATTCGACATGGAATAGACCCTCTAAAGCTATCTCATTATTCAATCATTGTTACATATATATAATATATATATATGATCAAGTGGTAAAATAGCAAGGCAAAAAGATCAGATTCATATCTTGAAAGAGTTGAGGACTGAAGCAGCTTACATTCTTAAAAATTTGAACTTGCACAACATGAGTGGATGTGAAGCTATCATGGAATTCTTATTGTATAGCAGATAAACCAAGCAAGAATTAAAGCAAGCATATGGTGGACTCACTTTCGGGTGGACGCAAAAGGACTGGATGAGGAGAACGCAGCGATGAGATCCTTACACTCATTGTGTCATTACATGTTGTGCTCTCCAACAGAAGTATACCCACCAACAACATGGCAATGGCTACAAGCAATAGAAGTTTGATCTTAGTCAGTGAAGAAAGAGAACTTATGCAACTCCTCAGATTGTCGCCTTTAACCCAATATTCCATACTAACAAAGTTTCTGGGTTTCGCAGCTTTAATCAGAATCAACTTTTTCAATATCTCCAACTCAACACCTCCAGTATCCTTAGTCTTGTTCACTGCTACTGCCAATTTAGGCTCTCCATTACCACCAATTTTCTTTCTCCTCTTCATCTTCACTTCCCTTCTCTCTACATGTAAAACCCAGAAAGTTTATGCATACTTGATGAATAAATGTTAAGCTTCATATTACAGCTTCGACTAAGCTTAGAAAAAGTGGTCTCCTCGCCAGCTTTACCCTCAAGCTGGTTCTAGGAGCCACCCTCCTTGCATTGTTGTGTTAAATGCTTTTATATATAATAAATTAATTTTAAACGTGTGTTGTTTCATTACTTTTTAGATAACGAAGCATTAAAAGGCATTAAGTTATGACAAATCCTTTGTTCTCAATGTTTAAAATTGCTGAACTGATTTGAAAAATGAAGTAATCTCCATATGAATAAATATGATATTAATATTAAAAGACTAAGGAGGATGTCTCTCAATCCTTTTTCTTAATATTAATAAATATGCTAACATCGTGTAATTATGGTGCAATGAATTGTCGATGAGAAATGACAAGTTTGAAAGCTTATCAGTAATTAGGTTACAGGGAAGCTATGTTAACATAGTAATTACAACATGAATAGACACATGATGGTCTTTTAGTTTCTTGACGAGAATCTATATAATAACTTCAATAGTGGCTCTTCAGAATATCAGCAGAGACCAAAACATGTTGGCAGATATCTGAAGGCGATGAGTGGACCATGGGGTCTTCAAATCCTGAGTAGAGAAAGTGTGGAATTGCTAGCAGCTCCTTCCCTCGTAGCGTAGTTGTACTTTTTCCTTCCGATGTACTACCTACGGTCCTAATTATGAGACCCAGTTGACTTATTTGAGGAGATTAAGGAGTAAATTAAGTTAGTTATTTGTAATAAATAAGTGTTGTCATTCCTAAAAATCCTTGCTAATTAAGTGTATGGCTAGAACTATCATTATTAGAAGAACTATCTTGGAAAAAAATGCATAAATATGAGAGAAAAAAATGGATGGGGTCTTATAATTAGGACCAAACAAAAAGCCAATGAGATCTTATATTAAGGACCGGAGGTAATATCAAAAAATATATAATAACTTCAATATAGTTCTATCATTGGGCTTCTTTAGTTTATTATACTACATCTAGTTCTTAATATAAAAGCTAGTTGGGGGTTGAATTTAGTATGTTAATCCACTTTGTCTTCTGTCTTTTTCTAAAATATCCCTATTTATTGATTGTAAGGGGTTCATACCAAGGAATAATTCAAATCATCTAATGCACATGATTGAAAAAGATATTTTAGAAAAAACCAACACGTATTATGACATATAACCAAATTAACTAATTTTCTTAATTTCTAAATTAGTTATCTAGTTATTATGACTGGAAGATGGTATATATATTGTTGTGATTGCGACTAATTGTTGTCTTCTTCATTTTCCTTATGATTTCATTTTGTAATTCTATGACGAAAGTGTTACGCACCATGAAACACGTTAATTTTCGTGTTTGGATCAATAATTTGTAAACATTATAATAATAAATTAAGAGTTAATTAATTCAAGCAGAAAAAAATTAAAACTTATTGTCACTATCACGATCACAAATTCAAATCAATTTAATTTGATTGGAGGCGTAGTTATGTTATTATCTTGACATTTTGCATTTAAAGATGTCAAAGTTGCTTAATTTCTTTGACATGGACATGCATGGTGGATTTAACTTCCAAGATGTGGATATGGGTGATGCCTGAATACTGGATAGCATTTAAATTTATCAATAATGAATTTTTTGTTTCATTTTCTTTTTTGGAACTTAGCTACAAATAATAAATAAGGCTGATTCATAATAATACCCAAGATTCATATATTATTGCAGGGTCAATTTCCCCTTGGCCTTTGCAAGTTACAACAATATATCCCATACACATAAAAAAGGCTGATTCGTAATACAGAAAAAAAAAAATACTGACAAAAATATCTTATAATACATCTTTGAAACCAAGTTCTTCTTCTCTCCTTCTCTGAAAAAACCTGAAAAATGTGTTAATTCATAAAATTCGTCTGGACTTGACGTTCAAAAACTTGAGAAAAACTGAAAAATCTGGAGCCTTGGAACCCAGTTCATCATCAATGTGAGGAAGCATCAAGTTGTGGCAAACACTCTTGTGGATTAGTATAGAAGTAGTCCTCAAGCTTGGGTTTACCAGGAACCACTGTTCTTGTAGTAGGATTGCCTATATGATCTGCATGAGTTGCCTTCACTAAACTGGAGAATTGTTCCCGCTTCAATGTCCCATTTTTATACTGGTCTATCAGCCCCACCAGAACTTTTCTGTCTAAAATTATTGTTTCCTGAATCCCAAGTACCTGAAACCACAAACATATATATACACACACTTAAATCTCTTCCTGTATAGTTTAGCCTTAGAATATATGTTTACTGGGCCAAAAAACTGAACCTTCTGTGGCCTTCAACAAGTTCTGCCATGTGGCCCTTGAAAGAAGGAACAAAAATGTCACTTTCTATAGAGACATAGTAATCCAGTGCTGCCATCTGGTTTGAGTGATTTTGGAATGGTTCAAGTTCTGATGCTTCCAATAGTGTCTCCTTTTTAACCTGCATTGAGGCACATACACATGTATATTTACACAGGGAAGATGATTAGCAAGTGATGCTTAACAGTTGCAGAAATGAAAAATTATATAATACTAACCAAGTTCGGAAAAGCTTGTTTGAGGGTTTTCATCCTTCTCTCAGATTTGTATATATTCCCAGCTGCAATGTAAACTTGAATGTTTGGATCAATTCCCAATGCTTGAAGTGTTAGAGTCGTTTCTTCTGGGGTTAAAGGACACAAACCATCTCTCCTTTTCTTCTCTGAGTCTATCTCTTTCTCTTTCCACCATGGAAAGCAGCATACCTTAATCCCCCCCCCAAAAAAAAAGATTTTTTTCGTTTAAACAGATCAAAACATCATGTGAAAGCAGTGATAAAGATTCAAATCACAAGAGGGGGAAGATTGCCACCTCATTTGTGTGTTAACTCATCATCTCTTGCTGGTTGCAGCCTTCATTGCAACCAGAGAGAAAGCAATCATATCCATTTCATATGAGATGAAGAGACAGAAAGGCCCTCTCTCTTTAAGAATCCTAATAATCTTCTTAGCTACTTGCTCAATTGAGGAGTAATCTCAGAGCTTGGTAGTTCACTCTGCACCTTAGTCTCTGAACTTCCTCAGGAATCCCATTGTTTGCTAGCCTTGCATCTTTTTTGTGAAGTGCACTACCCCATATGTCTTTATGCGAGGTAGAATCTGCATATATTAATAACATACAATGTCAGAACCTAATCTCCAAAAATTTTTTCGTTCTAAGTTCTGTGTATGCGTAGGGTACATACCACTCCATAGTAATAAGTCATGTTAGACCAACTAATGGGTGGCATTGAATAGAGGGACTCTGTTTCAATCTTTTGCTTCATCTGGAGGCAGCTCTTTCAGTATCTGAACTTCATCTCTCAGTGAATTTACGAAATAATCCACATCAAATATATCTTGGAATTGGCTGCCATGTGAACCAAGATTTTCAAAGGGGTCATTTCTGTGGTAGTTGTATTATGCCTCTATTTTCTTACTGTTGCTGCAGAAAAAAGCTTTTCAGGACTGAAATGTCAACAAAGCATTCTGATGAAATTTCAGACTCACCTGTGGTCATTCCAGAAGGAGGTATTATCCAGTTCAGGAACTATAAAGGTGACATTCAAATATCTGGCAATGGCAACCATGTCACAGATCTGCAGCACAAATATATACATATATTTATATATATCACCCAGAATGAGAAAAAGAGAGCGAAGAAGCCAGGAAGCTTTTGAAAATAGAACTCATATATGCTAAAATAGTAAGTGATAAATAAATATGGAGAAACTTTAGATATAGCAATTCTTACCCAGCTCGCCTTTGATTGAGTCCTCCATTAGAAGAAACCATTAGATACCCATTATTCTCATAAATCCCTGCATGCATGCAAGCAAAAGTCTGTAACTTTATATTCCATTCAACTATCTGTTTCTGAGTTCTTATAAGAATTTAGAAATTATGCTAAGTCCAAACTCATGTTGATAGATTGATGAGATTTTCAGTAGTTATAAAGAGCTTGAGAGACTGAGAAAGGAAATTGCATATATGATTGAGGGTTTTAAGGAAGTTATACAGTGTGCAAGGAATATGGAAGATAAAGACACTTACTTTGACGAGGAAAAGAATGTGAAATTGCAGAGTGATCAGTGTTGAAGAAGGAGGTGGGTTTGAACTCATCTCCAATGCCTTTACAGTAAACTGCAATGATGGTCCAAAGAAGCATGACACATGTGACTCTCAGTCCCCATGCCTTGAACTGTGATGAATTGGACTTATTGAACACCAACAGATTCAGATCATCACCCTTCTTCATATCTCCATGAAACAACCCTTTTAATTTCTCAACTTTAAACCCTCCAAAACTGCCCAGTTTCTTCAGAATTTGAGCTTTGATCATCACTCCTAAGTAATTCATCTTGTTTTGATCACATCCCTTCTCCTTTGCTTCTGCTGAATCCTCAAAACCAATCTTCCTCTTTTCCATGCTTACTTATATCTGATATATTTTAAACTTGTTCCTATTTCTATATTTACAGAGCCAGCAAAAACAGAAGAAAAACCTGATAGGTTATTAAGAAAAGAAAATGGAAATCAGAGAAATTTTTGAGGTTTTGGGAGTTCAAAGAGAAAGGAAAGCAATAAGAATGGAAGGAGCGTGATATGTACAAGAGTATTAAAAGCAGAAAATTTTTCCTTCTTTTAGAAGGCATGCATGGTCCAGTTATACTGTGATGTTGATAAAATTTAATTTATTTCCCTTGTCACAAATATTAATATAGTGCCTTCCTGTCATATTTTAATTTTAATGTTTCAAGTCCAATGTCAATGAAAAGATAAATGTGTTCAAGGACACTGGGTAATTTGCAAAGTTTCTTTCTTATAATCTCATGAGTGAATATTTATAATAATTCAACTTTTATTTCATTAATCAAACAAGTTATTAGATTCTTAATTATGAGTAGTTATTAGTTACACTCACATAGGCGAGAAGATCTTACTAAACTGGGTGGTGCATTGGCCTGCATATTTTTAAATCTACTCAACTGCATTTTCTCTGCCTTTTTTTTTGGGGGGGGGGGCTCTTCTTCCATTCAACCTTATGCTTTTGATTTTAATATTGCATCATTCTTTCCTGTTTTTTTCTTCAGAATTAGATTTTCTCTATATTATTATTACTTTTAATCAGTATACTTGCTAAAAATAATCTTTCCGGTAAGGTGATCTGGTTTTTTGTAATTATTATTATACATGAAATATGGCTAGCCAATCATCCTATTTTATATGCACAATTATCAATTGAATACATAATATTTTGTTATAGTTATATAAAACCCTTAATCAAGAGTACTTGCTTGAGAGCTCATGATATAATATATATATATATATATAGAGATAATTAATCTTCGGACCCTTATAATTTCATTTAATTTTTAATTAGGTCCTTATAAATTTTTTTCCTTTTATTAGATCCTTTTACTTTCACCTGTTTTTAATTAGGCCCCTTTATTTTTTTTCTTTTTATTAGGTTCTTATAGTTTCACTTATTTTTTTAATTAGGTCCTTTGTAGTTTAAAAAAATTATTTATTAACTTGATTCATTAAAATTAATTTTAGTTTTAAATTAATAATCATATAATTAGACAAAATAATTAATATAATCTTTTAATATTTAATAATTAATCAGAATAATCAATTATACTTAACTATAAATTTTTTATAATTATATTCTAATTTTAAAAAATTTTATTATTATAATTTGAATTTTATAATTATAAAAATTAGAATTGAAAAATAAATAATATATATCTTTAACTAAAAATTTAAAATAATATTAACATAATATTATTATAATAATTTATTATTTATAGAATAAAGAATAAAAACTACAAGGACCTAAAATTAAAAATAAGACAAAACAATAAGTTCCCGATAAAGGAAAAAAATTATAAGGACTTGATAAAAAAACATGTGAAATTATAAGGACCTAGTAAAAAGAAAAAATTATAGAAATTTGATTAAAAACTGATTGAAACTATAAAGATTTGCATATTAATTATCCCTATATATATATATATATATATATATGAGAACTATTTTATTTGGGGGTGGATGCTGGATGTATAGTTGAAAGAGATTTTTTTGGTGTATAGTGACAATCGAATTCAAGGTTGTGATTCAATGGAAGGGAATTTGAAAGAAAACATGGTGAATTGAGGAGTAAAGAGAAATTAAGAAGTTGAAAGTAATGTAAGAGGAACAAAGAGGGCATAGCATTTAAGAATTTGAGTGTCCATCATTCATTCAAAGATTAACGAGACTCAAATTAATTTGCTCCCTCCCTCTCTCTATGTACATAGACACATATACAATTAGAAAGAACACGTCTCTCCTTTTTTATTTTTTGGGTCCTATTTATAAACTACTTCCAATATGTTTCATATAAATTAAAAAAAAAACTTAAACTTCATTTAGCTCTTCATTAAAATTAAACAACTTTTTAACTTTATCTCTGTTTAATTTATATTACATCTCATAAATGCAAAAATTAACACAATAATTAATGAATGATAAAATTGTATATCCATATGAAAAATTTCTCACTTTATCCTATAAATAGAATAAAAAAAATTTCTTTCTGTCTTGTAAATAGAACCATAAGAGTGTGTTATTTCACCATACGCCCCTTTTGCAGCCTCCTTTTTGAGTAAGAATGGAAGAATTTTCATTCAATCAACAAAATACATCATACAGGAACAGAGCTTCCTTACACACAACAATTAAGGCGGTGGAATGATGTACACAAGACTAAGATAACAGTTCCTACACTTTGTTCGCTGTCACAAAAATTTAGGTAAGTTGGATCTTATTTTCATATGATTCCTCCCATAGTTAATATAAGAAGTAAATAACTAATATACGAATATTAAAAAAATTAGTTAAGTAATTTTTATTAAAAGAATTAGTCTTCGTTTAGGCAATTTGTGTGTCCATGCTATTTTATTCTTTTGTCATGCAGCCTGAAGGCCGAAATCTGGAATGAAAACCAAAACAACACTGAACAATTATTCGAGTCCCCATCTCAACTCATGTTTTAACTTTTAAAATTTTAAAACGACTCAATATATCAGTATATATATAGTACTACTCCGGTTCTAAATATAAGACTCATTTTGTAATATAATTTACATCACAAAATAGATCTTATATTTATGACAGGAGTAATATAATTAATAGCCATATTACAACTCCCCTTAAATTCTGTATCATAAATGAGAAAATATGCCTTATTTTTTTGAGAAAAATTGTTACTCCCATAATTCAGACCCACCCCCCCCAAAAATCTTGAACCCAGTTACTTGTACAGGCCCTTTCATCAGTTTTGGGTCAAAACTAAAAAGCCCAACGTCCAATTCACCTCCACGTTGTTCAGCGAGACCAAACTCCCAAGTCCCTCATCCTTAATGGTCAAAAAACAGCCCCTCATCCCACAGAGACAGGTGAATGAGAAGAACACACCTGTTTCATTATTAAACAAGGACCCAATCCAGCATTAGCGATCAGCATACAAAAATCTGTATTCGGTCCCCCATCTGTTTTTCTGTGGCATAATATTGGTAGTAGCCTGGATGTTCTCTCATAAATCCTAATCAACAAAAGTAACTCCAGCTTCAAGAACTCTCATTCATAAATCATGGGGATGTAGCAAAACATAAAATATCAAGTGAATTAATTAACAATATCGGATCTCTCGACAAGCTTATATCTTCTTGTTTGAAACGTTATATAAGAACCATACATAATAAAATTAACAAAATAATATCACCTGTACAACGCAAACTGCCACTATATAAGGGTATTACCAAGTTAAATAAACAACGAATCACAATTCCCGTCCTCAAATCTATACCGCCATAAATACTACACTAGAGACTGCTAAAATTTTCTCTCTCTTTTTACCAATCACCGATCAATCTGTCCGCATCAAGCAGCAAACTTCAGTTTCTCACTTTGGAGTATTAATCGAAAGCAATTGGGCATCCTAATTGGTAGCATCAGACGTTTTCTTCGCATGCTTCTCCTCTTCAACATCCTAAGAATTTCAAGAAGAAAAAAAAAGTGCAGCTAGTTTTCAGACAAGAGTTAACGAAGCAAATTCCATAAATAAACCTTGGGATTGCATCCTTAAAACACAAGATTTAACGAAGCAGATTCCATAAATAAACTAGCTTTCAGAACCAGCTATCATATTTTAACAGGAAAATAAAACCATAGGGAAGTTAGATCATTAATAAATTAAAGAAAAATTGAAACGCAAAGTGGATTCTAGATCTAAGAGCACTTACTGAATTGCCAATCTTGTCAAAATCATCATCAAGGCTGCCTTCGCCATCATCTGAAAGATGGACAAGATAATCAATATGATATAGCGAGCCAGAATGATACCTTCACACATAGCTCATCGTAACAGAATGAATTATGGTTATTTTTTCCCCTGATAAATGAGTGGTGAATTTTGGCCCCAAAAAAAATGACTGGTGAACAAAGTAATCTGTCAAAATTTATGAATGCCCAACGTATTCAAAGATAATCGATTCTCAGGGGCTATAAGTAATCAACAATCAAAAGAGGAATAGCACATGCTCTTGCCCAAAATTATATCTACATGACAAGAATTAGCGACCCATCACCCACCAGGGAGCAAGTTTCTACAACCAAATCTGAAACTTAAGAAAGTATATTCAGACCTCCATCACTGTCTTCAAGATCGCCAAGAAGAAATGTATCCAAATCTTGCTCAGTTGAGGATGAATTAGATGATTTGCTCTTCCCATTTTTCCCAGTTGCCTCTACCTTTTCAGTTCCTCCAGTAACAGCTGTTTTCTCTACCTTATCATCCACTTTCTGCTCAGCTGCTGCTCGGAGGGTAACCTCCTCCAGATAGCGCTTCTCATACCTGATAGTAATTACAAACTTATAGAGTGATGGTAACTTTAAAATGTAACAAAATTGTCGTCATACACAAATCTCTGAATGGTGGAAGAGTTGTGGCAAATTAGAATATGATATTTTTCTTTTCCAACTTCTAATTTTCTGGGCATCCTTCTAAAAATTAGAAAGATGTACCATTCATTCATTATCATCTACCACATTTTAAGTTTGTCCAAAAGTGACTACATGAGAAAGCTTAGCCCAGCTCCCTCATATCTGCACAAAGGAACATAGTATTCCGTATGGCTTTTAAGATATACATGAGAAGGAAGAAGCTTCAGCTTGAGTCGATTTTACTCTATAAATGCGGCAATTAGAGTGTAGACACAATGGCATCAGTCATCAGTCATCAGTCATCAGAAGCAAGTCCCATATCAGCCTTCACTTACTAGATTCTAAATGTTTATCTGAATTTATCAACATTGACATACCTCCTTACGGCCATCCCCAAAGAGTCAACTCTGGCAGACACAAATAGCAAAACTAAATAAAAGCAAAAGCAGGAATGCCTAAGTAAGGTGCATGAGCCTCTTATTCG